CCCCAAAACCCCAAAACCCCAAAACCCCAAAACCCCAAAACCCCTTAAAAATATTAAAAATTGAAATTCATTAATGCAGGTGGAATAGTTCCTTACAGAGTAACTGTTAACAACAGATGGCTGATATTTGCGATATGTTCAGAGTTTTGCTTGCATAAGTAAATTTTTTCTGAGCTTACTATTTCTTTGAGATTCGAATCTTTGATTTCACCTCCTTCTGGACCTGAACTTGCTGGTGCTTTAGCTCCTCCTATCTTATCTTCAGCATCTCCTTCTCCTTCATGTTGCTTCTTTTCCTCTTGGTCATCTTCGTCTGGCATTAGACCTCCTTTAGCTGCAATTATATCAGCTCAAAGTTGAGACCCTTGAAGAGCAATTATAGGGAAATTGTTCTCTTTTGCTTGAGCAATATCTTCAACTCAGTTAGGATTATCTCCAATGATAACCATAATAATTTTTCAAGAGTACGAATTACCGTACTTACTTCTTCCTTTAGCAATTCTCTTAGCAAGTTCAGCTTTAATATGAGCCTCTTGGCCCCAATTATACTTATTCTTGGTGTCATCTCCGATAAGCACAAAATGTGTATGTCCATTTGTCAGCTCATTTGGCTTTTTATTTGAGGAGTTAACTGGGTACGAAATTTCATTCTCTGGACATACTCCTATAAGTGGAACGCTTTTTCTCATGCAGAACTTCTCAATTCCTGAACCGATCCCTGAGTCGATGATTCAGGCTCCAGCTCTAAAAGCTGCTCTGGCAACTCCTGCCAGCACTTTTCCTGCCCTATCACTCATGGCTCCAGCTAAGATTATACAAGGAGTGGGTTCGACAAATTTAAGCTTGTCCAATGGCTCAGTAATTCTAAAGTCTTCAGAATTAGGATCTGGAACTCTAACTAACTTTGCAGTTCTACCAGCTGGAATCATCATATCATGCAAAGTATAAAGAGCAGCTTGCTCTTTCTTATTATCTTGAGTGATAAAGGTCCTTCTGAAATGATCCTTATAGGTTTCCTCATCATTAGCATATGGATCTTCTTCATCACCAGCACCTCCAAAGTTAACATAATCTTCTTTCTTCTCCTTATCTCCTTTAGTTTCCTCTTTAGAGCCATCCTTAGCATCTTCTTTCTTCTTGGCGTCTTCAGGCTTGCCATCTTTCTTCTCTTCTTGCTTAGGAGTGCCTTGCTTTGAAGTTTCTTGCTTCGGAGTTCCTTGCTTATCATCCTGCTTCGGTGTGCCTTTCTTGTCATCTTGTTTCGGCGTACCTTCCTTCTTGACTTCTTCAGACTTGTTCTGTTGGTCCTTCTTTTCCTCCTCTCCTGGCATCTGTTAAATTTATTTATCTAATTTAAATATTATTAACAATATCGGGGTTTTGGGGTTTTGGGGTTTTGGGGTTTTGGGGTTTTGGGGTTTTGGGGTTTTGGGG